CGAGTGTATAGGGAATATGGTAGGAGCAGGTTGGGAAAACATGTTTACATCACTTGTCTAGGAACTCTGTTCGAATTTATTCAGTCCCACGCCCACTCGCATTCCTATTGTTGGTTTACAATACACACAGAATACAAACACACACACTTCTGAGTATATTTCCATTCATGTGTTGAATACCTTATACTAGTTCAATAGAAACTCCAAGCCTCTACACATTTCTCAAAAAAAATATTTTAGAATAAGAGCAGCTTTAAGAAATGAATGCATCTATCCCGTCTAGAGCTGTGCAAAGACGGGCCATTCCATTTCATGGAAGATCTGTTTCAAAATCTATTTTGTTCCAAATAGGACCCCCACAAAATTGAAATTCCCCTCAAAGGCACCACAGCACTCCGCATAGCAGGCTGCCCTGGGGCCACGGACCTTGGAAACCTGGGGGTTCCCCAGCAGCTGGGTAGAAACATGCTTGGGTTCCACAGAACTGTCTCCACAAAATGCTTCAGTTTTGCTAAGTCGGCAAATTCTGATGAAAACTTGTCTCATTCAAATTTTTGCAACCAGCTCTTCTTGTAATTCTATCAGTTTGTTCTGTTTTCTCACTTTATTTTTGGCTCATCTATAATAATTGATGTTTAATTTCCCATTCTGAAGCTAGCAAAATCCTGCCTTCTGCTATGCATATACAGCTCCATTGAAATCAGTCAGTCCTGCATCTGCATCCAAAGGGCAGAAATTTGAATTTCATCCTTAGTGGAGAAATCTGTGTGTGTGAGGGGGCATGGCAGGGGGGTGGAAGGGGGGGGGAGGGGAGGGGTTAACACAGCAGGAAGCTAAAATATCTCTTGCAAACTCATCTGCATACAGAATACATTATTCCTATAACCTCTATAGGTCTGTATCAGTCTTAAACTACCCTATAAAGTGTATCAGTTTCAAAAATATATTCCTAATTAGGGTAAAAAATAGCTTATACTAATTGAGAAGAAACTGAGCAGATCCATTTAACCTTCAAAGTTTAGCATTGTCCTCTGACTGAACAAACTCAAGAGTAGAAGAAATATTAAGCCCCAAACTTCAGAGTCAAAGAAATTTTGCTTAAAAGTTTAATACGCAGCCAAGTAGGAAGTCAATATCTAATATGAGCTGCCATGCAGAATAGTGTTTAATAAGAACAGACTAACTCTACCCAATGAACCTAAAAATGGTCTGAGATAGACTGACAATATCCTGCACAAACCTTATGACATTAAAATAAAATGTATTGAATTAAGTTACACCTTATTCAATTTGGGTTCATACTTTTGGGGGTCCATTGTATTAAAAAGGCAATTGTGTATGTGTTTTTGTGGAATTATATGGTACCTTCTCTAGTAGGGAGGAGAATGCTAATGCATTTCCTTTGTTATCAACGCTTTGAAGCCACCCCTCTGGAGAGGTGCGCATATACTAGTTCAAACTAGATTCTAGGGACCAACAGACAAAGATAAATGACAACAGACATTGGATAAATAGCCTGGTTTTAAACTGGCTCAGGGCTTTCTTCCTGATCCAGCAACCAGACAGGACCCCTGGTTCACAGAGAGCCCCAGTCCTCAGGATAGGATTGGAAGGACTGGGCCTATTGAGGCTCCATAAGACTGGGTGCTTGTTCTGAGTTGAAGCTGTGATGAACTTGTAACCACAAGCCAGTGCCTTGGGTGTGGGTTTAAAGAACTGCTCCTGCAAGAATATGTTTTCTACTGTAGTATTTTTTACCTTCAAAATAAAATAGGGTTGCATAGAAAGAACTGTGTGGTACTTTTAACTATAGCAGTTACACTTATTAATTATCTCTGAAGATGAAGCCTCTCACTGCTGGGAACAATGCAGCAAATGCAGGGAACTGTAAAGTCTGGACATACCTCAGTCAGAAGGGGAAGAGACACAGGTCTCCACTCAAGAGAGGCAACCAGAGGGAAGCTGGAAGCCTGAGAATGGGTGCCATTGCTGGACCAGTGAGCGGAAATACAGGTTCAGTTATCCTGACCTGTGACATGGTCAGAAGAGTGTTACATCAAGACTATTCAGACGAAGAAAATGAGATTATGTGGTTTTACTACTGTAGCAAGCTGGAGGAAGGTTCTATGGGTTGCAGAAGGGAAGAATGTGGAGGAAGCACCAAGAAGTCAATCTGTGTGCCCTTGGCTAAGAATGTTAAATTGCCATTGGAGCAGCTCTCTTAATAAAGAGCCAGCTTAGTTTACCGGGAACAGAGTCCGCACATTACCCAGCACTCGGCACAAGAAATAAATGCAATCATCATTTTCAGTGTAGCCTGGAGTCCCCAGACAGAAGTGCCCATGTCCACAGACCTGGCTACAGGCAGCACCATACTCCTGTACATTTACTTTTCCTTTCCATTCCCCCAGCCTTTCAAAACCACACCAACCTGGAGCCTAACTACTACTAGGGTGGGGAAACAATACAATATTCACAAGCACTCAGTAACCAATGTGGGTAACCGGATTATGTCTTGCATCTCTAGCGGTAGCACCTAGATCAGTGGTTCTCAAACTAGAGCCGCCGATTGTGTAGGGAAAGCCCCTGGCGGGCCGGGACAGTTTGTTTACCTGCCGGGTCCGCAGGTTCAGCCGATTGTGGCTCCCACTGGCCGCGGTTCGCCGGTCCAGGCCAATGGGCTGGGGGAAGCGGCGGCCAGCATATTCCTTGTCCCGCGCCACTTCCCACAGTCCCCATTGGCCTGGAGCGGCAAACTGCGGCAGGTGGGAGCCGCGATCGGCCCGGCCCGCCAGGGGCTTTCCCTACACAAGCGGCAGCCCCAGTTTGAGAACCACTGACCTGGATGCCTCAAATAGATTGGGGCCCCCATTAGGCATACAAACTGAGGTAGAGACTCTTAATATCTAAGAGCCTGTGACATCTAAATAGACAAAGGGTGGGAAGGGGTAGCAGAGGCACAGAATTGTGAAGCAACTTGCCCAAGGTCACACAGCAGGTCAGCGCCAGGCAGAGACAAGGAACAAAACCCCAGCTTGTCTCGTACCCACAGCTCAGCACCCACTCTACTGCTAGCTCACTAGTCTTAACAACTTTGAAAGAGGTACTTCTTGGTTGCTGTAAAAATAGAAGTTTAAAACAAGGACTCTTACAGCAGGGATTGTGTTTCTTGTTCCAGATTCATTAGTATGTGTGTTTTTCACTTGGATCCTTTCTGTGAGTTTAAGTAACAGAAAATGCACCAGGCTAAAGGAGAACGAGTCCTTTTCCAACAGTATTTGCATTTATGTGACAAGAGGGAGAGTGCTACTTGGGAAGCTGTGAAGTGTTTGAAATTTCAAAAAAAAAATGAAAATAAAACCTCCAATTTATTAATTACTCATTCTGTAAATGGAGAACAGACTTTCATTTACATCATTGATGGGGTAGCCTTAGTCAAATGAAGCAATACAGCCTGGTTGTCTCGCTGAGTGAAAATAGAACAGAAAGATGTCCAATAGACGGAAACATCCATAGCACCAGTGGCTATGCAGGAAGTACTATCCTAAAGTGCAATGGAACACTCTAGAGAATTAAGGAGAGAGAGCGAGAGAGAGAGCGCAGACATAAAAATGGTGGTACATTGATTTTTGGCTAAAACATGCTATTAATAAACTGATTTCAGCTGCAGTGATGAATGCAACAACTTTTCTATCCATGTACAAATGTGTAATTGGACTGTACAGTTACAGTAGTTTTTCATTTTTGTAAAATGGGTGGAAAGCTATGAAGCGTTAAGAAAAAATACAGGTAATATGGACAAAACGTTGAATGGTGCTCTAACCTTTAGACCAAATCTCAATTTGTAACTTTAAAAAAAAGGTGTGTGTTTAATATAGCATGACTGAGTACAAAAAAGAAGCAGGGAATAGTGTTAATATAGTGCAAACACTTCAGGTTCGACTGTAGCTACAAGAGAGGCGCACACTGAGCATATGGGCAGTGTCTTACTACCCCCGAGAGCTCCAGGAGGAATGGCGCTTAAGGCGGCATAACACCTCTTGTAGCACCTGAGCTAAAAAAGGGAGTGTGCACTGTGCACCATCCTCAAGGATTGTGAAACCTGCTCTCTGCTGTGTTCAGTTCCTCCCTTTCCCTTATTCCCCTCAAGGGGAGCTAAGAGGGGAACAGTTCTTGAGTTCCCTGGGATTGTGTCTGGCTCTTAGGTGAGGAGCATTAAGGACACTCCTTATGTACTTCCTCTCCCTCCCAAGCACCCCAGCAGGGACCCGGCACAATCTATTCTTTAGTTTTATTGTTTAGATGGCATCATATTACATGGCATGATCTGAAGCCCAGGTCTCAGCACATTAAGGCCCTACATGCTCCCTTTGAACACAATGGCAAAATGCTCATTGGTTTCAGTGAGAGCAGGATTAGGCCCTTTATGTTCGCTGTGGTGGGAGGCAGAAGCACAAGTGTATCAGGGCATCTTGGCTTTTAAGATTTCACTTCCTTCTCATATAGTTTCGAGCTTCCTTGTGGAGTGCACGACTTACAGACTACTGGCATCCGGATAAATAGTACCCTATTGATCAGCTTTTGGAACACAGTGTGGTACTACTGCCCAACGAAGAGGAAACAATGTCCCACAATGCAGTAATCTCAAACACTTGCTTACATGTAACCCAGCTAACTAATTCATTGGGCTCATTGTAACATCTTACATTTATAGAGCACTGCTCATCCAAAAAGATCCCACAGCTCCTCCCAGGTTACATGTGAACACTGAAATGCTGGCACCTCTAGGGCAGGAGGCAGGAAGAAACTAGCTCACAGCACACTGCACAGTGTGAAAAGAGTGTGTGGGGGAAAATGCTTCCAGGGAGTCTGAAAGAGTCCTCTCTCTGTCCCTCCCAATTCAAGAGGTGTTATTGACAGCGTTCACGCTAAGCATAGGAATGTTTTGCAAGTATAATTTGAGAACTAACATTTCTGCTGAATCCACTTTCCTTCCTTAGAAATCCAAAATATCAACATATGAAAAAATGTGGGCATTCATGAGCAGCAGGCAGCAGACTGCACTGGTGAAGAACAATGATGAGGGAATCCAGCGGGTGCTCACAACGGACTATGCCCTGCTGATGGAATCAACCAGCATAGAATATGTGACTCAGAGAAACTGCAATCTCACGCAGATCGGCGGACTCATTGATTCTAAAGGCTATGGCGTGGGAACTCCTATTGGTAAGATGCATTAAAGATAATTAATGATCAGCAGACCTCAAGAGGTTCTGGGCAGTTAAATCTGGATGCCCATTAGGAGCTCTCTGTAACCTTTGAGCACCCAGGATCCTTCTTTCATTCAACGTCTCCCCTCTTGCCCCAGCTACAGCAATGGCTCTACTCGGCAGGGGCAAGAGGGCGGCTTGTAAGCAAACAGGAAAATTAAGATGTAGAGCGTGCCTTCAAGAAGCAGTCAGTTGGCCTGCTGCTCTTGTGGATAAAAGGTCCTGTTCACGGGTGACGGGGTGCCCTCTGCTCCTCCCTCCCATGTTATTAAACCATGCTAGCAAGACAGATTCCATATTTGGTCCAGGAGCCTTTTATATATAAATATATATAAAGATGGGGATGTGGGGGGAGAATCAAGGTGAATGTGATCTCCAACATATGTACCCCTTGAAAAGCTGCATGAAAGGAGACAGGATTGATATCGCACCCTATGCGCCATTGCCTGTGCACCTTAGTAGAATAGTCTACAAAGTTTGCAATGATTTTCAGAGCAATATGTAGGGACTATAAGAAGCCATTGCAAGACTATATTCCTACATCAAGAATCTCAATGCTTTGGGTGCATTCTTAAACCCAGCTCCCTCACTTCCGCCAATAAGTAGCTGCCCTTTTCGGTGGATTTGCTTGCCTTGCCCCTGTATGTTTCAGTACTTTGCCAGTTATACATATTTAAAGAGATAGCGTATTTTCCACAGAAAGTGGGTCCTTCTGCAAATGGACATTGTGTAGCCAGTTCTTTTTCTAGTTTAATATATTTGTCCTGCTCAGTCATGCACTCACCCCACCCATGTCTCTTCTCGGTTTACATCAGCGTAATTCCACTGGCTTCAATGGAATTAGCTATAGATTTACACCGGTATAACTGTTCACAGACTTTGTCCTTTCAATTTCTTCTTTGGCCATTTTGAGTGAAGTGGAACAACCCACAGTACACATACCCCTAGGGGTAAATAGTGGTCTTCCAAGGGGTACATCAACTCATCTAGATATTTGCCTTTATTGATTTTTACAATAGGCAACATAAAAAGCACTAGCAAAGTCAGTACAAACTAAAATTTCATACAATGACTTGTTTATACTGCTCTATATACTGAAATGTAAGAACATTTATATTCCAGTTGCTTTATTTTCTAATTATATGGTAAAAATGAGAAAGTAAGTAATGTTTCAGTAACGGGAGGCTGTGACACTTTTGTCTTATGTCTGATTTTGTAAGCAAGTAGTTTTTAAGTGAGGTGTAACTTGGGGGTATGCAAGACAAATCAGACTCCTGAAAGGGTACAGTAATCTGGAAAGGTTGAGAGCCACTGAGGTAGAAAGCCTGCCCCAGTATATTGAACTCTGCCCAATCTTAGCCAAAATTCCCTAGAGATGATATTGTAAAAATATTTTTCCATTGCTTATGTGAGAACAAACTTCTCTGGCTGAGAAGAATGAACCAAAAATTTTAAATATCCCAAAATAAAGATAAATACATGGCAAGAATTTCATAGCAGTTATAAAGCTTCCATGCTTAAACTAAAAACAATGAAGGATAATTGGAACAGATGGTAATCCTCAGAGAGAATACATCCACTGGAAATGCAGCTGTGGAATATATTGTAAGAGGTTTCTTGTATGATGAATACGCTGTTTTAGAAAGATCAGTTAGGATTCAAGGATATATAGAATATATGTACAAGTCTCCAAGTGTCTTGAAATAAACCATTTTAATGTCATATGGGCAATTTTAATAAGAAATTAAAAGTTGAAACTTGCCCTAGACAAGGTATGCCGCAAAGATACTCCCATAACACACATGAATTCCCAAAGGAATCGGGCTCAGTTGTCTTCTCCCAATATCCAAGACCATCCCATCAAGTTATTTCTAAGATGAACGTACTTTGGGTTCTCAGTATTTTTAGGACCAAATATTTAGCCAAATCTGCCCTTGTGCAATCCTCAGAATTCAAATGCACAAACATGCCTACACTTTACAGGTGGAAACAGATGCCCAGGCACTTCAGAAATCCTCATGAATGTGCCAAGTAGGATCACAGTGTTGTCCTCAGACAAGTGGAAAAGATAAAAATGTAATTCTTGATTAAAAAAATCTGTATATCTACCTGGGGACATGCATGGCTTTTAGCACTAGAGATAGCTGGAAAATGGAAATCCTTAGCTGTGAAAAATTTCGCATCTTTGAAAAAAAATTCAGTAAAACAGGGATAAAACATCAAAACTGAAATATTTCATGGGAAAGGTTTTCAAGAAAAATTAAATTTCAGAGGAACCAAAGTGAAATTTTCCAGGTTTGCAGCTGCCCAGCTGAAAGGCTCTTGTCAAATTATAAGAGCCTGACCCTGTGACAGCCAAGTTGAATGTCTACACTGCAATTAAAAAACGGGGGCTGGCCCATGCCCACAGACTGGGACTCGCGGGATTCAGGCTAAGGGGCTGTTTAATTACAGTATAGACGTTCCAGCTCCAGGTGCTCTGCCTGGGCAACTCAGAAAGTGCAATTGACAAGACCCTTCCAGGCAGGCAGCTGTCATTTTGATTTTCCTGATGGAAACTGATTTTTGGGGGGGCAGAGAGGGGAGGAGAGAAACTGAAATGTTTCCACTGAAAGTTTCAGTTTTCCCAAAAAAAGGGCATTTTTCATTGGAAAAATCATTCCAACATTGTTTTCCTACCAGCTCTACTTAGTATCTGAGCAATCTCCACAAGTTAAAAAAAAAAAAAAAAAGGAGAGACAAGGCTCTTTCTTCCTTCCCTAGCACAAAGAGGCAGATATAGGGGACCTTCACTGTGTTGTTTCTATTAGTGGTTTTTAGTGACTGTGTAAGATATGGGTTTTGCATTTGGCTCTGAACTAAAGCAGCCAATACTTGTTTTTCTTTAGCACGTATCTGCTTAGTGCATTCTGAGAGGACTAGTGCATAGGACATAGGTAACATTTAAAAAAAAACAATATGCAAAAGGGCATCTTAGGAGGAATTCAGTTGAACAAAGAAATGTTATTAAATGCGTCAAACAAGCACTAATTTCACAATTACTGCTGCCAGTGCCCGTGTGCTAGTAATTCTCATACTAACTATTAACAGTGATTTGGGAGGTAGCTAAGCAAGTGGGTAGCTGTATTTCAACAACCTGAGAGGTGGCTTCTGTTAACAGCACCAAGGCCATAAATTAAATATTGAACAAAGAGGTATCAGAATGGATTTGTGTGAATTTTCACTACTTTCCAATAATAATTTAAAAAGTTCCAATCCAATGCCCTAGGCACACTTGGCAAAAATTCTAAAAGTACAAGTATAAATACAGTTGTCTCTGTTACTCCCAAGATTGAATCAAATAACCCCACAGCAACAGAAACAAAGAATAGATGTTCCACACAATCCCCACACCAACCCATCTCCTTATGGTGGGGTCGGAAGGGGGGGAGAAACAGAGGGAGAAAAGAGGGGCCTTGCAGTATACCCTGCAGGCTAGCAAACTCTAGCTGTTGCAGGAATCAGAACCCCTACTAAAGATTAGGCAGTTGTACTCACTTTCCAGGAGGCACTGCTTACTGTATTTTAACTGGCAACTTTTAACTTTCTTTTAAGATTTTTTTTAAAAATCTAGAATGCATGTTCATTAAAATAAGCTATTCTTATACAGGGTATAATTTTCCCTTCATTGCTGGCTACCAGGGCCGGCGCTTTCACTAGGCGACCCTAGGGCGGCAGGATTTGGGGGGCAGCATTTTGCCATCCTCGGCGGAAATTCGGCTGCGGTGGGTCCTTCCGCTCTGGATCTTCGGCGGAAATTCAGCGGCGGGTCCTTCACTCGCTCCGGGACCCGCCGCCAAAGTGCCCCGAAGACATGGAGTGGAAGGACCCCCGCCGCCAAATGCTCAGAGGAGGAGCGCTGCCGCCTAGGGCGGCAAAAACCCTGGCGCCACTCCTGCTGGCTACCCAAAGCAAAGGCTGCTGATCTTTGGTTACCCAGAAAGACTGCATAATCTGATATCTCTTGGCATCTGCGGTCTCAGCATATCCTACTGCTGACAACAGACTGTGCTCTGAAAGCTATCTGAGGCTTGGCACTGCAAATGAATGAACTAGGATGTTTTTTACATTGTTTCTCTAAACAATATAGTAGGCTAAAGGAAATAAAAAGCTCGGGGGGTGTCTTACTGTATTCATAGTACAATTATTTTAATACATTTGTTTATTGTACCATAAGATGCATGGCATGTTAGAGAGAATGGATTTATGGGGACAGATTTTCATAGGTATTTAGGCACCTAAAGATGTAGATAGGCTCCTAGTGGGATTTTCCAAAACACCTAGGCACTTTTGAAAATTCCACTAGATGCCTATTGTTACATGCCTAAACACCTATGGAAATCTGACCTGCAAGTCCTGCCTTAAAGAACTCAGTGTTGTTTACATTGATCAGGTTGGAAATTGCATCTAAAGTCTGGAGCTAAAATTACAATTGTGGAATCATTACTTAGACAGCTGTCTTGCTAATTACTAAGCTAGTAGGTACGATGACTAGTCACACAAATAAGTGATTGACCACATTGGAGTTCTTCCAATCTCTACTATAAGTCCATATCTACACTACAAAATTAAGTTGATCTAGCATACGTTGGCACACAGCCACCACAGTAATTACATCGCTTGTGTGTGTCTACACTTTGCTCTTTGTGTCGGCGGTGTCCCCCCTCACCAGGAGTATTTGTATCAATTGTACTGTCAGCGTGGGAAGGATCCTGAAAGCCAGCAACAGTCGACACTTAGCACTGACACTGCGCCAAGCTAATTACATCAACCTCGACTCTACGCCACTCAGGGAGGTGGAGTTATGAAGTTGGCATAGCAGGACAGTTACGTCAGGAGGAGTGAAATGTATGTGTAGACATTTCCATAGTTAGGTCAACATAAGCTGTAGCGTAGACCAGCCTAGGAGACAAAGCTTCTTACAGTTGAAAGTCCAGACTGGGGAATTTTGTGCTTGCTGCTAATTAGTCCTGTCTACACTGCTAGCTCCTGCTAGTCTATTAAGCTTAATTGCTCCATTGCTACTTTGTTCTGGCAGGGGGAGGCGGCGGCCAAGGCACAGTTTTAACCCCTTGCTTGCCAGGCTTCGTGCATACTCATCCACTCTGATAGTATAGCATGCATTGGTGTGTTGTTACCATTAGATTGTCAGTGGAGGGAAAGCAATAAATAACAGAAAGAAAGGCCTCAAGTACTTTATTATCTGCACCTATATGCTGGCAAAACTTTGCAGAATGCAAAGAAAATACAAGGCCAGCTTCAGCTCTCATAACCATCCAGCTCAATTGTCATAAATAAGGACGCAAAGGTATAACTGAGGCCAGAACTTACTTAACTCACTGTGTGTTTTCTTAGATTGTGCTGAGTTTTAAATGCAGTGGTAAAAAAAAAAATTGAAGTAAACTGAATAGATGTAAAAGTAGAGAGTCTAGGAGAATGTGAAATACTCAGACACAGAAAGGAATTTAGGGGAAAATCCGCTGCAATGCAGTGGGTTAGCCAAAGTCCATTGTAGGCACCCACAGAAATCCCAATGCATTCCCAAATGAATAGCTAGACTTAGAGATCCCTCTCTTTGTCAGTCAACAATGCAAATTTCACTAGCTAATGCTATCCATCTATAAGAATGAGAGAGAAATCTAAACATAAGCAGTCATTCACAGAACTGTTTTGGTTATACTCTATCAGGAATAATTTGTATTGTTATAAGGGTGCACTTTTGTCTCAAATGCACATCTCCCCGCCCCAGCCCTGCAACAAATACTAAATGGTTTGTTCTTGCTCTACAGGGTCTCCTTATAGAGACAAAATTACCATTGCCATTCTCCAGCTACAGGAGGAGGGGAAACTGCACATGATGAAAGAAAAGTGGTGGCGGGGCAATGGGTGCCCTGAGGAGGACAGCAAAGAGGCCAGTGCTCTGGGGGTTGAGAATATTGGGGGCATCTTTATAGTGCTTGCTGCCGGACTTGTTCTTTCAGTGTTCGTAGCCATTGGAGAATTTATATATAAATCCAGGAAAAACAGCGATATTGAACAGGTGAGTTGTCTATTGCCAACTCGTTTCTGGTTTGTTTTTTAGGGCTGGGGTTGCCATGGCATAGGAAGCTGTACCATTAAGAGTCTATTCAGGCTCTTGTGTTATTGAATCTTTGCCATGCATTTCTGGCACTAAAGCCACATAAATTTATTAAATGAGAAGAGGGAAGTACCTCACACTCAATCCAATTAGCGTTATTTAGTATGACTGTGCAGAAATTTCAAGCATAGTTAATTTCTCGAACAGTTGTTGCTTGGTCTTAACACTTCAAACAAATGGATTTGGAAAGGAATAAAAACAGAAAACTGCAGCTCTCTCTATAGCTTCAGTATCATCCCTTTGGTAATGGCAGCAATCTACTGGTCTGTCTCCACCAATGCAGTTCTCTCTCACTCTAAAGCATTCCTTCAAAGCCAGGTGTCTGCATGTTCCACAGGGAAGGGCAGGCCATAAAGATGGGAGCCTTGATAGAAAGATGGGAGCCACAGAACAGTAGGATCTAGCTTAAAAGTGATCCCTGAAGTAACTCCATTGAGGGGAATGAACAATATAAAAACCCAAGAAAATAATGGATGGAAACAAATACATGGATTTTGCAATGTTTGAGGAAATACTATTCTGTTTTCATTATAGAACCTAGCACACACTAAATATGTTTAAGAACAAAACGCGATGAAGAGCAGTACTACTAAGCACACCCCAGATCCTGCAACGAATACTAAATAATTTGTTCTGCTCTACAGGGTCTCCTTAGAAAGACAAAATTACCATTACCATTCTCCACCTACAGTACAGTTACTGTCCTCAGTAATCCCTACTTTGTCCCTATGTCTTCCCTTGTCACTTTTCTACTGAGACCCCGATTCTGCTATCTCATCTTTGTAGGTGGATCCCCAGGGCCTGCTCAGCCCCCCCATTTCACTTCTATGGGACTTGGCTTGGGATCAGATTGGAGGCAGGCACCATGGCTTTATTTGTCTGTATGGCGCTTAGGTGCATCCAGTGGATCAGTTAGAGCCAATAACAGTGTTAGTGGCATCACATTAGTTTGGCCATCATGGTACAGGGATAGGCTTATTGCATGATCGAGGCCTAAAATACTCTAAACTGCTCCATGCAGGCAGATCCCTGCACCTGAGCAGACCCGCACTAAAGTCAATGGCGCTGCACATGGACACACAGGTCTACCTATGTGGAGCGATTTACAGGATCAAGGCTTTAGTAATCCAAACATTTGGTATTTTAGGCATAAATTCAAGAGAACTGATGTACTTTGTATATATTGTTAATTTCTTATAAGTTTTAAAATCTCAATTACCAGTTTCAAAAACATACAATGAAAAGAGGGTTTCTCCAGCTCTTGACTCAGATAGGTTTTATCCATTATTCTATTTCTATCCTTTTTGTATAAAAAAGCAAAGGTAATGCAGTTGATTAAAGTTTGTAGGAAAAATGATAATGGGATAAGTGTGTAGGACAATATTTCTGGAATCATAATTAATAGGCCAAAAATTGTATCCCAAGACGACTATTAATTCACTTCTTTATAATTTGGGTGAGTACCAGTGTGAATCTGATGTGACAAGTTCAGTTGATGTGCAAATCCTGCTACTATATCACAGCAACATGCAATAGACGGTAGCTTGTCTCATCATAATGAAAATCTTCAGTTGCATTAGAGTAAAGTGGCGATATCATATATTACTATCACAGAATATGTGGGAAATGACTGTATAAAAAGAAGAATACAGAGAGTTTCATTAGGACTATAAATTGCATATAATCTGTGACTTTTTCTGTTTCCATAATAGTATTTTTAATTTAGAGGTCTCATTTTCATATTTTTTGTTATTTCACTTATTTATTTTTTCTCCATTTTTTTCCTGCATGCAAGGCCTTTTGTTTCTTTTATGGACTACAATGTAAGCAAACCCATCCATCCAACTCCACCTCTGGAACCACCTTATCTACGGAGTTAGACTGTGGCAAATTAATCCGAGAGGAGCGAGGGATTCGAACACAACCCTCAATTCATACTGTATAATCAGTAAAGGAAAAAGGTGTGTCCAATGGAAAGCATTCATCTTAAAGAGTGTACATGACAGTGCTCAAAATATTGCCTCGCATATTAATAGCCTTAAAGCCTGACTACTGTAGCAGATGGCTCTCCAGGGTCCTGAGAAACTGAGCAGTTAAGTGCATATCATAGAATAAAAAATAGATTTAAAAAAAAGTGTTAGTCTCTATATCTCTCTATAGAGAATAAGCTTCTTTTCATTCCTTTGGGTAGTTCAGCATTTTCAGGTGAGAAAAATGTATTTACCTTCTTTCCATCTTTCCCTTGCAGTGCCATTTGCTGAAAGTATGATTTGCAGGAACTCACTCTTTAGTCTCTGCAGAGCATTTAGCAAGAAGTCCAGGCAGTTATTTAGAAACCTCACAAATCAACAATCTGCAGGATTCCATTAACTCTCTGAAAGACCCGTTCATGGCAAAGAGCCAGTGATTTTTAGCTGACAGCACTTTGTTCCCAGTGTCAAATATTTAATTAATTTTAATTCATCCATTTAAAATTCATTATACACCACCTCCAAGCAGCTTGTACTATTGTACCACAAAATCACACTTAGGTTTTAAGCTGGTAACCATTAACATTAAAAAGAAAACTATTCCGTGAATACATCCTCATAGAACACCTAGTTTTCTTCTTGTATATACTAGTTTTACATCAGTGTAATAGCATAGATTTAATTTTGATGTTCGTCTGTGTAACTGAAAGGAGGATCAGACATACTGTACTTATTATAAGACAGAGGATTCTTTCATGGTATAAGCACCAATCAGGATATCAAATCATGTTGAATTGTAAACCCTTGGCATTTGTTTGCACAATAAATATACAAGTTACTACAAAGTTGTGTGTAGGAAGTTGGTCTGAATAGCTATGCTGAAATACTATTGTGACTGTAGTTTTAGATATATATTTATATAAATCTGGAATCAGAATAATGTCATGAACCATGATAAACTGCCCTTTATTCTAAATAAACCCAGTTACTTTTTATCCAGATCTGATTATACCCCAGCTGATCCTGTAATTTCACTTATTTCATCTCCCACACATCACTCCCATCTGTCTCTTTGGTAGTGTCCTGACCATTAGAATTCATTTGTATTGATCATCTTTGTCTGCTATGGGTACTTGAGTTTTTTTATCTATTGGTATGGTTTCTTTGTACACTGCAGTTTACCCTTGCAACACAAGATGTAGCAAGTTAATGATCCCCTTTTTTTGATGGACCATGTCTGAGCTCTATTGCAATTAAACACTTCTTGCTGATTGACTTCTTCACACTAAGTAGGTGAAGTGCTCCAGATGCTCTAGTCTCCCTTAACACACTCCAACTCAGCCCTGTTCTGATTTCTTCTATCTGCTTTCTATCTGACCTGAATACTGAGACAAGAAAACATGGTCTTCTATATACAGTGACAGGAGTTCTGTTCATTTTGTTTCCATTTTGCATTATTGTCTATTGGCCAATTTTATTTACCCTTTTAATAATCTTAGTGGTTTCCCTGGTTCTTCTATTGATCTTAAAAACCATTTGTGTTTTTATGACCAAGAAAGTACTCTTTACAATGTAAGCATGTCAGTTTGTGTCTGTCCCACTCAAGATCCTGGAAGAAGTTATCCTGGTTATGATGGAATTACTCACAATAGTTAATACTTCACCTTGTAACAAAATTTGTTGGCTAAGGCCCCCAGAGCTTTGATCCATAAGTCTTGGCAAAATTTGTGTGCTTACAAACCAAGATCTAATCGCAGTGAGAGAATTAGGCACTCTAGTCCCAATTCAACAAAGCATTTAAGCATGTGATTTCCCCAGTGAGAAAAAAACTTTAATGCCAATCAAATCCAGCTCCTCTGAGCTCTCAGAGAAGGACAATGACTAATATGCTTATTATCCTAAACATTGTCCCCCTCAGTTTCCCATTCACCAGTCCCTTAATCTCCATTGAATTTTGGATGGACATTCAGTGTGGAGTGCCTTTGTTTTGTTCAGTTTTTAGATGAGCACCATCACATCTTTGAGAAAGACTATAGAAAAAAAGAGCCAGTCTTAAGAACAATGCTCCTTACTTCTTGTCTTACTGTGCCAAACAGCATAGTAGATTTAGCTTGCCTCTGGGGACAATCATGAAACAATTATCTTGTTTTTAAATGGAATTTTATATCTAACCACAAAGATGTGTTAAAAAACTTGCCGTTCAAAAATTATACCAGCATCTGTTCATGTGAAAAATGGGACAATCACTTGAGCTCTAATAGAAGGTACATTTGTAGCGAAGGTACCCGATCCTGCCAGGTGCTCAGTGCCTCCAGAGAGGAGCTATGCACTCTCAACTCCTATTGAGGTTAATGGAAGTTAAGGGCATTTAGTAATTTTAGTCATTGCACTTATCAAAGCCAAAGTACTTGATCCTAAATGGTTATATTTATTTGTATTATGTTGGTGACTAGAGTTCAGGGCTCTCTTGTGCAGTCATTTAGAGAGACTCCCTGGCCTAAACAGCTTGTATTCTACATCAAAAAAAGGACAGAGTGGGAAGACAAAAACCATCACCATCTCCATTTACAGATGGAAAGCTAAGCCCTAGAGGGATTAAATGGGTTATCTGAGGTCACACAGGAAGTCTGTGGCAGATCAACAAACTGAACCAATTGATGATCAAATTCTTAAATGTTTTGTCCACACAGATTGTAAGGTCTTTGGGGCAGCGACCATCTTTTCTTTCTGTGTTTGCACAATGCCTAGCACAACGGGACCTGGTCTATGACTGGGGGTTCTAGGCACTACGACCATTTTTTTACATATTTTAAAAACGAATGCTGTAGCGCATCGAACTGGAAGTGTTATCTTTATTTAATACTTTTTGTGTTAAGAGGACTATGTCCAAAGACTATCCTTGCTTAACTAGATAATTATATTTTACCTATTATTTACCATGTCCTTATGAACAATATTCTGCAAAGGCTTCAAAATGCGCTGCAATTACACTTTTCTATAACATGGTTAACGTGCTTAATTATGAGGAACAAGTCGCTTGTTTCAGATTATAAATATAATTATCTAAAAGGCAACTTGAAAATATGCAGACATCAGTCTCTAAAATTATTAGTAAGCATCAGGAGACATTTAGAGTCCTTTCATGCATGACTTAGACTCTACACATGCTTAATGTTTTGTGAGTTGTATAAACAAATCTGTGTACTCTGAGCAAGTGTGGTACAAACCAGAAAGGTGTGGAACTGGTAATGATCACTGAAATAATTAATAAAACCCTTCACATCTCTGAAGTTTAATTCTACTCTGAGAAGTGACTGCATACAAATAGCATTTTATCATTTCTCAGTAACATCTACGTCAAATTTTCAAGAAGGATTTTTCCCCAAACTACTAGCTCTGCAACTTTACCGTCTGCTTCAAAAATCAATAGGCACTCAGTCCTTCTCATGCATTTACACTAGTTCTGAAAGATATGCAGGTCAGATTTTACTCTCAGTTATCCCACTAGCCTTGTGGTTTGTGGGGCTGGCAATCAGAGAAACCATCTTTTTTCTTACCAACTGAAAACTGGGAAAACAAACATGAAATGCCCATTTTTATAGTCACTTTCAGTGCAGAACTAGGCTTTCTAAAAATCTGATGCACAGTTTAGAATAGCTTGCCTGCTGGTCTAATTTGTATAATTAGCTCTTAGTGGCGGAGTACTCAAGCAGACTTTGAATTCACTACAGCAGTGATATTTTCACAAGAAAGAACTACTTTGAAACATTTTCCTCCAGTATATTAGATACAAGGCAAAGTACTCCGCCCCCTCCCCCCCCCCATATTAAGCATATGCCACTGTTTCATCTATGTGTAACTATAAAAACATGGCTACTGTGGCTCACAGAAGGGAAATCCTGATTCAGACTCTTCTTTCTCTGTTACTAAACTCTGAGCTGGATTCTTGTCATATATTCTGCCAGGATAAATTTGTCTCATCAGTGAAGAATTTTCATAATTCTCAAGTGTGACACAGCACCTCTAGATTAAGGTATTTCTTCTTAGGTATTTATGAAGTTCAGTATAAAGTCTTCTGAATAGATTGAAACCACAGGCTTCAAAGATTCATGTGTGGCATATTGAGTCAAGAATTACATTTCCCTGTTTTTCTCAATCTAGTCTCTATTACATTTTTTTTAAAATTCCTGTCCAATTAGGTAGCTACCCCAAAGTCTAACAGCATTTTCACTGTTTTGAGATGGGAGCAGAGGAAAGATTTGGAAGACCTGAGCAGGTGATGGATCTGCTGCTATGCCCATTATACAGTGGAGAGACCAATTCCCTGGTTTAATTAGGCCTCAACCAATATATTTTAAAGGAATAACGTTCCCATGCAGTGTTTGCAAGCCAAATACTGCAGCATCCCAACAGAACCAGCAAGTGAAGCACACTATAAGCAAAAATGAAATTTACAGATCTGTCTTCAATGTTCACCCTCAACTAACTCTAAGGAATTGACAGTATTAGAACAATTTTTAAAGCTCTTAAAAAAATTCAGTTTGAATACCTCAAGAAGAGGTAAAACCCAGAAGGTGATTTTAAATGTAATTTTAACTTCACAATGCCCTTTTAAAAAAAGAATGTTATGATATTTCATATACATTACTTTTTCATAAAGATCCTTTAGCAGCTTGATAATGGAATGCATTTCCTTACCGCCATTTTTTCTTCTGTCAGTCACATGCACGCTGGCTTGGCTTACAGTTGCTCTGTAGTGCTGATGCAAGTTTGTCTCCTCATCTGAAAAGTTCAGGGCAATTCTGATTTTTGAACATCTGTCCTGCTTCCTCATCTCCACTTTGCATGACACAAACTAGAAAGAGAGCAATTGTCAGTGCTTCATGTTGTTACTGGGCCTAGGTCACTTTAGAAGCAGTGAAGTGTGATCTATGTACACGTTTAAGATAAACAGTACTTTGGGGTATGTTTCATGGGGCCCATAGGGGATTTTGTATGACGTTCTTCTGATGAACTTTCAGTGTTCTAGTAAATAATTTAAGGAACCTTCTCCAGTTGCACTTCAGAACATCCTAAAGTGCATGAAAATGGAAAGGAAGGAAGGAGAAGCAGTACAGAGTCGCTCATCTCAAGGCCTTTTAAAACTGTTTGTAGAGACCCACCATCTCCTCCACTCTGTTTTCTAAAAGGTGGCAGGACTTTGCAGACAGACACAGATATGCCATAGATCAAAGTTGGAGCCTACAAACCTTGTCAATATTCCCTTAAAAGGATCAGTCCAGGTTCCCAGTCTTATTTTTACGTTCACTTCATTATTATAGGACTCTGTTAAACGAAAACAACTTTTGTAACTGGTTAATTCTCCCAAGACATAGATTTAAATCCAACCCTAGGGCTACAACAACTCGTGTGTTTCCAATAGATACAGCATTGAGAGCTGTGGTGTGTAGGAGTCAGGAAGTTGTCATATAAGCTTTCCTCCTTCCCCTTTCCCAAGTTGTGCCTTGTATATAACAGCAGATTCCAGTGTGTGTTTGCTTTTGGCTGATTAACCTCTCTTCTGAATGGGTCAGCCCAAATCTACATGCTGAATTGCTTGTATGGCTGCGGATATTTTCTGCGGGACAAAGACATTTGGGATTAAGCCAGGGCCCCCATATGTACTTCTTGTAAATATGATAAACTATTTATAGATAAAGCCAAATTTAAAACCAAGACCAGCAACAGACCTTTAAACCAATAACTCTTGAAACTGGTGATAACGTAAAATGTTTAATAATGAGCAAGATGGCAGAAGTTTACTTCTGAAATACAAGATCTAAACACACACAGACACAGACCTGGATAAACAGCATCAACCTATCAATGATGTGTCAAACATCTCTGCATAAATATGACATGTTCTTCGTGGGATTAAGTTTCTTGATATCAAATGATAAACAATGTAATGAGTACAGTATGATCTGGATAAACTGAATAAGTTTGGGGAAAACCTAGATGTAAACATCAACATGCCAGTAAAAGATATTGTTCCGACTATAGGAGTTATCCCTATGCACATCTTGCAGAAATCCACATCTATAACACACACAACGAACAAGGATTAGTATCAGACGCTGCATTACAGTTATATAAAAAGCAGATAGTCTAGCGATTCATATATTCCCTTGCTCAATCACCATGGAATTCTTGGCTCATTCTAAAAATCTGGATTTAAAAAAAAATCCAATTACAATTAAAGTAATGTAGAGGGAGTAACCATGCATTAGAGCCAGTGAGTTGGTGCATATAATTTTTATCAGCTGCAGAAATCAGTGGTGACATTCTCTGAAAAGGCTTTGCTCATGCAATTTAAAAGTCACTTCAACAGCAGGATGACACCTGCTTCAGCAACTGCTGCCAGAGGGCCCAGAGATCTATCAAATATCACTGGTTCAAACTAATGGTTAACACCAAAAATTCCTAAATTGTGTGGCCAAAAGCTCTATTTAAAATGATAATTACACCAGTGAAGTCCTGACTATTACCAAGGGCTGATCTACTAGAAAGTAATTTGAAGAAAGCAGTATGTTTTTCTTGCCCATATCGATTACATTTTATGTCAGTCGTGAGTTAATAACCATTTAATTATTATATACTTAAGGCATTCAGTGTTTCATAAGATGAACAAAAATGAAGCCTCTCAAAGAAAGTGTATATTAAATAATCTAGGGTCATACTAGGTCCGTGTGCAACATATTGCTCAAATAAACTCTCACCAGGTACACCACAGTATATACTACATTGTATGGAGTACGTACAATATATGCATGTACACTGAAGAAGCATTCATAGTAATGCCCCAATCTCTGACTGGAGCTGTGTGCACACCAGCTTGCAGAATCAGCACCAGGCACTACTCAGATAAAGGAGGGCATGGTTAATAGTAGACCAGACATGGTACTGGAAGTCTAGAATTCCTGAGTTCTAATCTCTGCTCTGACAAGGATTCCCTCTGCAGCCTTGGTAAATCACTTTTCTGCCTGAGTTAACATCTAACATAAATAGGGCTGTCAAACTATTAAAAAAATTAATCGCGATTAATCGCAGTTTTAATCACACTGTTAACCAATAATAGAATACCAAATTTATTAAATATTTTTGTTAAATACTATTTCATTTTATCTTTTTTACCGTGCAAATATTTGTAATAAAAATATAAAGTGAGCACTGTACACTTTGCATTCTGTGTTGTAATTGAAATCAATATATTTGAAAATGTAGAAAAACATTCAAAAATATTTAATAGATTTCAATTAGTATTCTATTGTTTAACAGTGAGATTAAAATTGTGATAATCACGTGAGTTAACTGCGATTAATTGACAGCCCTAAACATAATGCCATACTTCACATTTTAAAGTCTTTCTTGGGAACTCGAAGCTGGTAGGAAAGCTTGGATTTCTCTCTTTCCCCTAGAATAAATATTTCATATTTAGCTCTGCAGGGCTTTGACATATTAGAATTGACTTGTTACTGGTCAAGGACTGAATACAGCCCATCTTCCAGCAGTGTAATTTTAGGGGAAAATCCATGTTTGGGATATAGGAAACGTTTCTATGGGCTGTTTAAAAAAGCATCTCTTAAAACTCCTCAGAGGGGTTTGGAACGTTAAAAATAAGGGATGGACTAGTGGGCTGGGTACTGGTGAGGTGGTCAAAAAAAGTACATTTTAATCACACTTATCACCTGATTTTTTTAAAAATCTATATATTAGTTGTACATCACAACTCTTTCCATTTGAAGCTATCTACATTTCCATACCACATGGTGTTATTTTAGCAGTCAGCTTTATGTTATTTTCACCCCAACACATCTTCATGAATCCTGTAGCCAAACGGCATTCCACTTTCTAAACCATTTTGCAATTTTCCAACTATTTCACTCTAATGTAATTTCTCCTTTCCTGGACACACGTTTTAAAAGTGTTTTTCCTCTATTTCTCTGTCAAAAGAGCATTGGAAAATGTTTTATTTATAGATTCATTAATTTCATGGGTGGGGGAGGAGAAATCAAATAATCGTCAAAAGAAGTTGTATTTGTTCTCTTTAGCACTATGTGTTTCAAGACTAACGTGAATACGGTTTTCCGAGGAAAGGTAAGTTTCATAATCTGAAGGCACCATGGAAGGCATAAATGTGTTTAGGTAGGATTTTCAAAACCGCATAACAGTGGCCTAACTCTGCTTCCATTGCAATAAATGTTAAATTAATTTTCAAAGGGAGCAGGATTGAGTCAGTGCCCAGAGCTTTTGAAAATCCCATCCACTGTGCAATATGGCCCTACTCCACAGACTGTTTAATTCAATGAAGAGACTCCCAGAACTCATGAAGTCCATGAATCAAGCCTTAAAGCCTGTGTTTATAGAAACCTAAAGCCTAAGTTTTGCAGAATTTAAGTTTGAAATTTATGTTCATTGAATGTTAAACACTTTTTCCACATTTCTCTAGTGTCTTTCTTTTAATGCTATAATGGAGGAGCTCGGGATTTCACTCAAGCATCAGAAGAAGTTAAAGAAAAGGTCAAGAACTAAAGGGAGATCATCGTTCACAAGTATCCTTACTTGTCATCAGAGGCGGACACTGAGGAAAGAAACCATGGCTTAAACAAAAACAAACAAAAAAAACCCTCTTGGGAAACATCAGGAATAAAAAACAAAACAAAAAACTTTGCTGCCTACAAAATTGACTATGAAGGAATTTCTGAAAATAGACATTTAACTTGTTCTTCAGAAATTGTGTGGGGCTTCTTTTTATCTGGGGAAGGTATAGCAGTTTAAATGCTCACATAGACTGATATATAACTAATTGGAAAAGCGTCTCACCATATCTTTTGAAAGGAATTTGTATGCTGACCTGTTTTGCATCTCTGTTCCCTCCCCATACATTGCTGTATGTGCTTTCTAAATAAATAAAGATACAGGGTTGTTTTTTCCAATAATCTGAATGTCTGACATTTTTCCTGTCACTTTCTTAGTCATCATAATGTAATCTTATTTTCTTTTTATAAAAATTGCAGTACTGCCAATCACAAGCATCTAAAAATCATGAGTCAGGATCTACAAAACTAAGTGGCTTGAAAATGATAGGTTCTTTTTATTTGCCTTCCTGTTGCTGACTTATTAAGGATCACTTTTTCAAGCTTTTCTCTGCAACCAGGAGGGCTAGGAACTTTTTTTAAATGAAAGCTGAGATTCTCTGTCTTAAGGGTAGGGGCTTTAAGAAAAGATATCAAATATTACAAATCTCCTGAAAAAGTTGAGAGAGTTGGCAGCACCGCCATTGGTACACTGCATTATCCCTCTGGCCCATGGTACCAAAGAAATTCCTAATTTATAATGCTGCCCTTAGAAGTAAGAGCCAACAATAGACAGTTCATTTTGTTCATATTATAAAACGGACCACAAAAATATCAAAGCTAGACTGCATCTGCTAGAAAATAGAACTGTGCTGATTTTCTGGGTTATAACTACTTGTTCTAAGAGTGACAGGGGGCACCACTTAAAAGACCCTATAATTAAGCAAAGAATAGTCTTTCATGAAATACTACATCTTTTTAGCCTCTTAGTTAGGAAGAAGGGCAGTGACATGTTCAATAGCAGAAATTTTTCCTTTGTTCCTTTGAACTACAGTAGCATGAAGTATATTCATATTTATTCTAGTGCATTGTCCCTGATTAATTCACTTGTTCACAGGGTTTTATTATCACCAGGAGTTTAGTTCAAGATTCTGTTGAAAGGAAAAAACATTTTCAGTAGGTTGAGAGCATGAGCAGTTATGGGTGTAATAATGGCCTCCCCAGCACAGATGAACTTCTAAGCAGGGAGTTGAAGGCATAGGGAGTTCCTTCCCCAGCCCCACTAGTGCATCCCAGCAGGTGACAGACATGACTGGGCTGCAGGCAGGGCTGCAGACAACACACAGTCAACCTGTGGAACTTGTTGCTGGGAGATGTTGTGAAGGCCAAAAGGATAACTTGGTTCAAAAAAGAATTAGATAATTCATGGAGGATAGGTCCATCAATGTCTATTAGCCAAGATGGGCAGGATGCAACCCCATACTTTGGGTGTCCTTAAACATCTGACTGCTAAAAGCTGGGACTGTATGACAGGAGATAGGCCATTTGATAATTGTCCTGTTCTGTTCATTCCCTCTGAAGCACCTGGCATTGGCCACTATTGGAAGACAGGATATTGGGCTAAATGGACCATAGGTCTGATCTAACCTTGCCATTCTTATGTTCTTAAGTACAATTTCAGTTTATGAAAACAATTCAGTTTGGACACTGAAAAGTTTTTTTTTCCTTGTTCCCATGCACCGGCATCTTGCTGCAAACACAGAGGGGAATGTTTAAATTAAAACCTCTGATCTTTTATTTTTGTTTCTATCAAAAAATTAATAGAAATATATAAAACATTTTTAAAAAGAGAACCTATAATGTGTAACTAGTAAGCCTAGTCTACCATCATATCCCTTTTAAAGTAAGTAGGCCAGTATCACAAGTCTCAACACTTTGAACGTATTAATTTCAAATATCCAAAGGTTATGGTTGTCAGTGTGACCATGTCAAAGACACAAATCACAACCTGCAAGGACCTCAGAAGCCTAACGGTATACAAAATAGTCTATTGCAACATTAAATCAAATGAAGGACCTTCTGAAAGAATGAAGGCTCCTTGTAACACTCCCTGTGAGCATTCTGGGGGTGGCGACTGTTTTTAATACACTTCTTTGTACAGCACCTGATCCTTGATTGGTGCCCTTTGTTGCTACTGAGGTACATGATACACACCAAGTTTTTCAAAAGTGAGGAATAAATTCTTTGAACCACTTTAGAAGTGATCTGATTTTCAGGGAGTGGTTGCTTAGAACTTCCTGAAGATAAGGCATATCAAGGTCAGCACCTAAAATCACTAGTCACTATTTTTAATCTGGACCATAATAATTAATAACATTCACACATCTCTAGTAAAGACACTTAATTCATTTCAAGACTCAGGCTCCTCTGCTTCCTCCATGTTGCCCCCAGTTGTGCAAGTTAGTGTAAAAGATCCCCTGGGGGAGGAGGAGGAAGGTTATAGGTACTTCTCCAGCCCACCTCTATGTATCTATTTCGCCCATCACAGCAATTTGCAGAGGAAGTGGACATGACCAGAAGCTCAAGGTGAGTAGCAGTAGGTGGTATGCTTCCCCATGAGAATGTCAAAGAACCACCGTAGAGGTTAGCACTCCACTGAAGTAGCAATAGCTCTCCTGCGTGTTTTGTGACTCCCCCTTCAGAGAAGGTAGAGAACATGACCGCAAGCTGAGACAGATGGCTATGTCCTGACTCCCTGCTGCTTTGGGCTCATGTGGCTATCAGAGGATCAAAGGGGCGGAGGGGGTCTCTGCACAGCTGACTGGGGATTCATGGATTTCAGACCTGTGGCAATTTTGCCAGCGTCACACTCTGTGATAGCTCCTCATTCCCACTCATGAATCAGGTCATAGAAGGGAAATATGTCCACTTGGTGGCAGACTTTGAAAAAGAACTTCACACAAGCCTCTTTACTGCCACCTCTCTTTATGTAACTTACTTGTGCAGTGTTTTTCAGGTGGGTGGTGGCTCATTATACAGTAAAACTATAACCTATTTATGACCAGTGCAAGATCAGCCTGGGAGGCTTTAAAGCGAATATTGATTTGCTTATTTTTAAGTCATATCAAAATGATCAAAAAAGTGTTTTCCTGGTCTGTGGCCTGTTCCCTGAGAGCTGGGAGAAGGGGTAGCTTCTGAAGGCAATAAATGAAACTGGTTTTGTGTGTTTTACACACCCAAACAGTTGAAATTTTGGGGTGATTTGGTTTCATACAAACCCTAAAACAAAAGCAAAAAATTCAGCCAAAACTGGAAAGTGAAAGATGCAAAGTGTGTGAACTGAAACACAAAGTTAATCAAACTATTTGATTGAAACGCTGAGTATTACATAACTTGGGAGCTTTTTGTTCTTTTAGAATCACAGAATATCAGGGTTGGAAGGGACCTCAGGAGGTCACCTAGTCCAACCCCCTGCTCAAAGCAGGACCAATTCCTAACTAAATCATCCCAGCCAGGGCTTTGTCAAGCCGAGCCTTAAAAACCTCCAAGGAAGGAGACTCCACCACCTCCCTAGGTAACCCATTCCAGTACTTCACCACCCTCCTAGTGAAATAGTGTTTCCTATTATCCAACCTAGACCTCCCCCACTGCAACTTGAGACCATTGCTCCTTGTTCTGTCATCTGCCACCACTGAGAACAGCCGAGCTCCATCCACTTTGGAACCCCCCTTCAGATAGTTGAAGACTGCTAGTGAAGGCAGGGGGCTGGACTCGATGACCTTTTGGGGTCCCTTCCAGTTCTAGGAGATGGGTATATCTCCATTTATTATAAGTATTAAGTCTTTGAAGCTTCCAGGCAGCATCACTTCCTCTCCAGTTCATCTTAGCTACAAGAGAGCCATAACTGAGAGCCCCACATCTGGAATGCTTTCCTTCATCTCCCGCGTAAATGTGACTTATTTGACAACTGAGTATCAGGCCCCAAGTGAAGTCTCTTAACATATATCACAATATCCGGTAAAGCCACAGCTCTTGATGGCCCTGCAGTTTGAAATTTAAGGGACATATTCTGCCCTCGCATATATGCATGCAGCTCATGTGGATGCTCATCAGAGGAGACACCTTGGCTTTCAAATGTGCAATATTCCAGGAAAATTTTTAGAGGATTGGGCCAAAAAAAAGCTGATGAGGTTCAACAAGGACAAGTGCAGAGTCCTGCACTTAGGATGGAAGAATCCCATGCACTGCTACAGACTAGGGACCAAATGGCTAGGTAGCAGTTCTGCAGAAAAGGACCTAGGGGTTACAGTAGATGAGAAGCTGGATATGAGTCAACAGTGTGCTCTTGTTGCCAAGAAGGCTAATGGCATTTTGGGCTGTATAAGTAGGGGCATTGCCAGTAGATCGAGGAATGTTATCGTTCCCCTTTATTTGACATTGGTGAGGCCTCATCTGGAGTACTGTGTCCAGTTTTGGGCCCCACACTACAAGAAGGATGTGAAAAAATTGGAAAGAGTCCAGCGGAGGGCAACAAAAATGATTAGGGGTCTGGAGCACATGACTTATGAGGAGAGGCTGAGGGAACTGGGATTGTTTAGTCTCCAGAAGAGAAGAATGAGGGGGGGTTTGATAGCAGTCTTCAACTATCTGGTGGCCTTTAACCTTAGTCTCATCTCAAGCTCTTTCCACCAATGGAATGCTCTCTGGTGATTTGCTGCCTTCTCATGGCATGCCAGATTTCTAGTCAGATTTTTCCAGTCCCTTTGTTCCTGTAGAACACCATGTGGCTGGAACATTAGACTGGAAGAATTTGCAACCAAAACAGTATGCAGCATTCTGGATTTTTGAGGACATAAGCCATGGCTTCTCCACTTCTTCACCATTGGGGATTTCATGCCAGTAATGTGTCGGATGGAAACTTCTATTGTCATTGTCTTTGGAGAACATGAAGTTTTTCACTTGCTGTGGCTCATGCAGTACAAAGAAGTCCCTCAGGCTACTGCTCAAGTGGTCCACAGTGCTGGATCATCTAGACTTAAGGAACTAAACTCAGCAGCAGCTGTTTCTTGCGCCTCCACCACACTCTTCTCTGATCTACACTTTTCTTCAGGAATGTGCATGGTTATATCCATTTGAGATGGAGATATGGATGCTGCAGTAGCTGCCAGGTCACCTGCACTCTGACTAACTGGAAGATCAGGCGTCTCCTCATCACTCACATTCTCACTGGGGCTGGAAGGCTCACCATGAACATTTGTATCTATGTATATCAGGAGAGCTTCTTCCTGCTTAGATAGAAAAGCTTCCTTTGCTTTCTTTTTCTGAATACTGCCCCAGAAGGGCCTTTTCTTCTTTCACTCATG